AAATAAACCGTGGGGTTAGCATCGTGAACTTTGTACGTTTTCCGTAAACTATCTCACCCCTGTTGAGGGTCACTCTCATTCAGCCTAGCGCGGGTGCATTTGAACATTACTGTATATATGATAGTAAGAAAGCATTTCGGTACTTGAATATCATTTCTTTGAACTTTCAAACAAGTTTATTTAACATATGCCCATGTATGTTGTTTCAGTAAACACCGCCTGTCCCTTGTTACTTGATACATCTTGTTAGAAGAGATTACCAAATGATACAGACACCATAAATTACAAAGAAAATTACTTTACAGCACTTAAAAGATTAGTCCTGGTCACATTGCCTGGTTGTGAAACAGACTAAATACATTTGTCTCAATAATACAGAGAAGCTATTACATTCTCACAATTGGGGTGTCAATACACTGAACAGCTTAAGTTTTGAATTCCAACATAAATCTTGCCTATAATGAGAACATATGGGTTTTATTGTTGTCACTTGTACACTGAGTTTGAACCATTTGCAAAATATCAGAACTATATATATATATATATATATCAGTTAGACTGATTTAATTCTAATGCAATAACAACAGAAGTGTGGGTCTTACTACAAAGCAAAGATTGTAAAAAGGAAAAATATAAAATTCTTATGTGGTACTGGTACTAGTAGTATTACGTACAAATCGCACAAGCTTATCATTCTAAATACTGAATCATATTATTATTATTATGAACTAAATATAAAATCATGCTAAATTATTGAACTTAAAACTACAAATTTAAATGCAAAAGAATATGAAATATCACAAACTTTTTCAGTTCAAAGCCCTAAGTCTAATTCATGTAAAGACTTTGCACTCGCCACTCGATAGCTCTTAACCCTAACAATCGTGGATCAACTTCTTTCCTAAAAAAATATATATCTATTTTGAGTTAATTTTTCAATATAATGATTAATATAAACAGATATACAATGCAGCATGACTTAAGCTACTATATTAAAATAATAAAAGTCACGTACATACCATGCAGTTTTTTTCCAGAAGCAACTTTTCTAACGCTTATAGAAAAAGCACTATTGGCCAATACTAAATACAACCTCTACATAAAATGGCAGTTACCAAAATAAGCACCACCCACATTGATATTGTAAAATCCAGAGAACAACATTTCGTCACGTGCTTTCCTTATCATCCTATGATTTGTCAAATGGGAGATACAGCAATTGGAATAACATGGTACTGAAATTGACATCTTTGACTAGGATTGGCTAAAAGTTTTACAACTGAGGTTTAACACGCCCAGATGCTGTTTTATAAAGAAAACAGACTAGAAAAAGATTTAGATACCAATCATAGATGGCAGGACCAGTGCTGAAGTAGAAGGAAATATCTTTAAAAAATTTTGAAAAACAATTTTCTTCTTAGAGGGCACTTATTTACAGCCTAAAACGTATTTTAGGAATTTTTTCATTAAATTCCTCTTTAAACTACATTAAATAATAAAATTTTGTACAAATAATTGAATGTTATGCTACTATTTACAAAAATAAAATCTGAAATCCAATAAAAGATAAGTTCTCTATCATTTTTTCAATTCACAAATGTGATTTTGCCCTCACAATAGGACAAAATGGCCATGGCAAGTAATGGGTTAATTCCTTTCCTGTCTGACAGTGACTTGGATAAAAAGAACTAGTTTGAGAGAATGAGAAAGTGGTCTGTAGACAAACAGCACAAATCACACTGACTGGTGACATCTGTAGGTCTGCAGCAAAAAAAAAGTAAATGTTCAAGTAAAGGGGATACATAACATACGAGTCAGGTAACAAGCAGGTGTTGAAAAAGAACATGTAATATTAACATACCTGTTAGGTAACTGGAATGGTCATTTAGGACCTAGGACTCAAAGCGACTTGAGGAATCTGGAGAGTACTGGGGACTCAAAAAATATGTAGTTCCAATAATCAAACAGTAGTCAATAAGGCCGCCTTAAACACGGCAGAAGTAGAAGATGAAAAAACCTCTGCTAAAGAGCCAAATAAAAAAAAACAAATTATGGTTGGCACTTCTGATTTAAATGGGTTGAACTTCCTCTCAACACACCATTATCAATATTCGTGTCATTTCCATTAATAAATATTCATTTCTAACTAAGCAAAAACTGAGACAGATACACGTCAACTTTAGAAATTAAACCCTGATGTCATGTGAAATACAGCATAACCTCTAGATAGCTGGGTATACCATACCAGATCATGGTTGCCTCTACAGAGATAGCCTAAGAAAAAGTGGAAGAAGTGGGCACTCCAGAAGGTACCACAGAAGCAGAAACCAGAGTGGAGCAGCCAAATTGGTGCTATCAACTGGACACCAACAATAGGGTGGAATAAATCATATTCAGTACCCTGGATAACATAGGAATTGGAGAGAAAGCTTAGAATTGTAATCTCATCCTGTCCTGACAGAATGCATCTATTGCCAGATCAAATGGCCAGTAATTGGGCGATCCAAAGAGAGAGGCCAATACACCAATCAGAGTTGCAAAATGAGAGCCAATCCAACAGAACCTAGCAATGTAGCATCTATTCTGTTAGGAGAATCTGTCTGGATTGAGACAATTGGCCCGTTCTGCAGGCATCACCCGTGGAACAAGCTAGCAGGATGATAAGATGGGAATGGTCCTGAGAAAGGAGATCCAAAATTTGAAAATAAAGAGCCCTGGATCAAGTGTCTCCTCAATGTGAAACACAATACAACACCATGGATTTGCTCCCAGACCTTTCAGCCATCAAGTAAGGTGCAACTCAATAGCAACCAGGAAAAAGTCAAAAACATCACACTCTCTAAAAACAAACAGGAGAAAACAAATCAAAGGCAGCTTATCCCAAAGTGGCCTCATTTTTTATTTTTATAGGTCATTTGAAGACTGTGTTGATTACTGTTGATTGGAACATCATTTTATGAGGTAAATTTGTTTTGTTCAAGCAAAGAAACATTAGGCCATACACTGCATTCACTCTAGAGAATTGAACCCCAGTTCCAGGCAATGTGAGTCCTCAAACTCAGCACTGTCCCACAGGGGTTTTTAAATAGCCAACTGACTAAAAGAAAGATCAGGAAAAAGTGAATCTAAATTATTTATAAAATGTCGAGGATTGCCTTCATTTGCGGCCTCAGAGCCCAATAGAGGACCACCACAGATACAAACATATGTCTCCATCTTACAACGAGAGTGATCCCTACCCCCGATTTTTGTGCAACACTAGATATCAGAGGTGGGATAGGAATAGGAGAGACCTGACTTGACTCCGTGCCGGACATAATAATCCGGGAATTCATACCATAAATCAGCTTGCCAATCAGAATTTGTTTTTTAATTATTATTATTACAAAAATAAACTAGATCACTGCACGATCATAATGCTGGGAAACCCATCAGTGACACTTTGTCAAGATAAAGTGGTAACATTATCTGAATGAGGTGCTTATATACAGTACCAGGATAGAGGGTGCATTAACATAGATGGAGGGTATCATGAGATAAATATTGCCAAGGGCAATTGAGTGGGGTATAAAAGAATGGAGCAAGCGAGAAACATCAGACCAATGCTTAGATAGGCAAAGGAAGAAACCCTATCAGTCAAGTAATAGCTATAAGTGTGAGAGCAGATAAGTATGTTTTGGAATAGTCATAGCACAACAATTATAACTAGTAACAGAATAGTTATAGCACAACAACTATAACTAGTAACAGAATAGTCATAGCACAACAACTATAACTAGTAACAGAATAGTAGTAGCAGAATAACTACAACTAGTAACAGAATAGTCACAGCACATTAGAGCATAACAACTGTAACTAGTAACAGAATAGTCATAGAACAACAATTATAATTAGTAATAGAATAGTCATAGTACAACTACAACTACCAAACGAACAGTCTTAACAGGATAGTAACGACAACTATTAACAGAAAGTTGGATTTTACTGTATATAGATTCTTAATACAAACTATATAACTTACTCATGTGTGCACGTTGTTCTTTGCTTTCATAGTCTTTCAAATATTCATCTAGACTTCTAACATCAGATATTTGTTCTTGACCTGTTGTAAGAGAAAGATTTTATCCTTTGTAATTCATAAACCACAAATATTATATATTCTTATTTCAAAACTAAGTATTCTCGTGTATGTATTTTGTTAAAGGATACTCTGTACTAATGTTTATCATGTTATATATGCCGTTAAAGATTGTTGTGTAACAAAATGTCTTTCATATATTTATGATTAAGCTGTCATGTGTACTTAATTTGAGTCTGTTACATATGCTCTTCTCAAAATTTGCATCATTTTTATAATAGGTGCATATTTTGGCAAATTGTGTGTCACAATAATGTTGTTAATTAAAACACAAGTTAAACATTTGAATAAAAAAAAAACAACTGAAAAATCAATCAGCTGTTTTACTTTCAAGCTAGTTTTACTAAATTAAGCTCATGCCAGAAAGCCTTGCTGGATTCCATGTGTCATGAAGGCCGTTTCCATTTAAGTTTAATGCGAGTTGTTATGATTTAAACATTTTATATAACATGAATATTAAATTAAATTTTTTTAGATGTTACAGTTTATCGCAGGTTTGTTTATGTAACTGTTTGCGAATCATAAGTTTTGTAGTTCAATAGCTATAGATTGGTGATTGTTATATTATTGCATCATGTTGCTAGAACCTTCTAAGTTTTTCTCATTGTTTTAATTGAGTATTATTGCATCATAATATCTAGTAGTGTGTGGAATGTTCTAGACCTCTGTTAGGGTATAAAATACGCATCAAAAATGTAGTTTGAAAGATACATCTAGACTGCATGATTGTGAGTTTAGCCATAAAGTACACAGTAATGATTTTTTAAAGTGAAATTATCACAGACTGTATTGTAATAACAAAGTAGAGAAGAATAATTCATCTTTTCAATTGTGTTCTAAAGTAATTGAACTAGCCTGTGTGGACTTTTGACAAAAAAAAAAAAAAGACAATTATTGAAAGCTCTGGATACAATTGTGGTAACCAACAGTGTAACAAACATTTGTATATATATGTCTAAATTGTTTTAATAAATTATGTTATATCAATTGGACTTTGTTGTTGTTTGTTTATTGTTGAAATTTATCACCACCATATTGTAAAGAATCTGGCCCATATAAAAAACCTGACAGCTGGTGTATATCAAAACATCAAACTTCACTTTCATGATTCTCTGTAAACAAGTCACGAAGGCTGGTGTATAACAAAACATCAAACTCTCCTTTTATTATTCTCTTTCCTAGATCCCGCATCTCATGAAGGCTGGTGTACAACAAAACATCAAACTCTGCTTTCATTCTTCTCTTTTCCTGGATCCCACATCTCATGAAGGCTGGTGCATAACCAAACATCAAACTCTCCTTTCATTCTTCTCTTTTCCTGAATCCCACATCTCATGAAGGCTGGTGTGTAACCAAACATCAAACTCTACTTTCATTCTTCTCTTTTCCCAAATCCCACATCTCATAAAGGCTGGTGCATAACATAACATCAAACTCTACTTCCATTCTTCTCTTTTCCTGGATCCCGCATCTCATGAAGGCTGGTGTGTAACCAAACATCAAACTCTCCTTTCATTCTTCTCTTTTCCTGGATCCCACATCTCATGAAGGCTGGTGCATAACAAAACAGCAAACTCTACTTTCATTCTTCTCTTTTCCTGGATCCCACATCTCATGAAGGCTGGTATATAACAAAACATCAAACTCTTCTTTCATGCTTCTCTTTAAACATTTCCCATTTGTGATCAATTTATCATTTTGGTTAAAGAAAAATAATTTCTATACGTCATATTTTGACTGATGGTCAATATTTTCTGACTAATATCCTAATATAATAATACTCATTCTTTTAAATGCTTTTAATATTCACTTCAGTAACACAGTAATTAAAATCACATTTAGCTAAAGCTCTGACTAATACGTATCTCTTAACTCTTTCCACACGAGGTTGGTCAAATTGATCGAGTTCATAACCATTTTGTACTCCTTACAGTTTCCATACTATACATTTTAATACAGTACATGCATCATAAAATTCATTCCTAAAATTTGAAAGACTTTCAGTAAACATTACAAGACTTTTACTCACAAAAAAATATTTTTTTAGTATTTTTACTAAAGATTTGTCCATGAATATATTGAGGAGTTTTGTTCACCTGTTCAAATGCAAAATTATTTTCATGTTACAATTAAAAATACTTTTATTCATCACAAAATTTTCTAAAGCCTCCTATACAATTATGAAATGTAAAATTTCTGTAGCACTTTATATTTTACGTTATTTTCTCTACCCTAATTCTATATTCCAGGTTGATCAATTTGACTGACCTCATAACCACAAAAAAAAAACTGAAATAAATCTAAACTACCCTTTTTCTGTTTCTAGAATGACTTCAAATTATAACATAAAACTGCATTTGTATATCCTAAATAGCTTTAAACCCATAACAGTATACACCTGTTTATACTTAAATTTTGTTTTATTGCCCTTTGAACCATGTCTAAATTAATATTCCTGCCATAAAATTTGTAAATCAATTGGCAAACATGAAGCTCATGTTACCCTATGAACTGCTCGCGAGCATAAATCGTGAAAAATTATTATTATTATTATCACTCTTTGTTTTACCTACTCTAGCCTTATCTATCCTAAAAAGTTTCTGATTTTTACATTTTAGTTAGTTTCATATTACTAAATAAAGAATACACATTAAAAACAAGACAAAGTACCTACCTGGGTCTTTTTTATTTTTGCTATCAACTGTCAATGACATTTAACTCTACTTTTTTATATTAATGGTACTACTGCACTAAATAATTTTTACTTAATTAAATAATGCACCAAAGAACACAGAATAGTCACCTGCAAAAAGCAGACAATGTCTCAAAACTATCACATTTTTCTGGCTTTCTAACTATGCAACATGAGCCCTTTAAAATTCAGCTAGGCTCATCAAAGTGTTTCCTGTGGGAATAAAGTTTGAACTGAAAGTAAAATTGAGAATCCTCTGTACAGAAAACGATGTAATATAATATGACATTTGATAGATTAAAACCTTGGCTTTCCATTCATTATAAATAATATAGCACTATTGGAAATTTGTGAAAGAGAGGATGCAACAGGTGGGAATGGCAAGAGAGGTCTGATTTTCTATTTTAAAGCTCTGTAACCAAGTAAGATTGAAGGGTATAAAAATTATGCTTTGCCTGAGTGATAACAACATTATAATAAGCAATTTACATTAAATTTCATACTTTTGGGAAGGGTGATAAATAAATTGGAGAAGAGGGAATACCTAGAGAGCAAATGTCACAATTAGCACACTAAGGGAATTGAGGATTTGTTTTTACATTGCCTTATAAAATTAAGAACTTAAAACTTATACAATATTAAAATTTGAATTATTAGCTACATTTATATGCCAAGTATATTTACATATTATGATAAAAAAGTACTTTAATTAAATTGTGAATGTAACTCACTAAAATCTCCTGACATGCCCACAAAATAATACCCTTTCTGAAAGAGTTAACTAGCCATTTTAATCATTAAAAACATCATCCTGAAAGTTGGAACTTCAAACTCACCCAACAAATTGCTCGTGTTAGCTGTGCTATTCCAACGTTTTTTTAAACCAGACTTTTCCACACTGTCTGACAGCACTGGTGATGTCCTTTTGGACCATGAAGTCTCTCTTGATCCCTAATTATGAAACACTGACATTTATTTGAAAGAATCTTAGCTACTGTTTTATAAATTTACAACACTTAGAATGTACCCATTCCATTACCAAATCAATAAACAATCCAAAATAAAAAAACCATGAAACAATACAGTTGATTAAAAACTTTGTTACACCGAGTATCGCAATTAGATGTAAAAGGTTTATGTCATGTGTGGATGTTAACACTAGGAAGCTAAACTTTTAACTTCAATCTGGGTTAATTTTATAAAATATGGAACATGTTTTATAAAAGACAGCTTAGATTTAAAAATAAATTAGCAATAACATATACATGTACAAGTTACCTGTTCAACTGATCCAGGAAAGAACATCCAAGAAGAGCTGCTTAGACTGCCATCAGACAACATGCTAAAAACCATATTCAAATTAAAACAGATGTGAACAAAACTAACTAAGCTATCATCATTTAATGCCTATACTCTAGTACTGTGAGGTAGTTCCAAATATTTTAAGTACTTATACTTTATTAATTTATCATTCTTCAAGCCATATGCTACTTTGAAGAAAGTCCGTAACTAAGAGATGAATTGTACGTACAGTAGTTTAGTCTTTCTTCTCGAAATTTATGTTACTGTGAAATGAGTGAGAAGTTTGTTATGTGTACTGTAGTGAGTCTTCATTCTTAGAATTTACACATTACTGTGAAGTTGGTTATGTGTACTGTAGTG